TCGGGACTAATATATACGAAACACGTTTGGTCAATTGGACCCCTCTGGGGGTGGGGTGGGTGAGAATCAACACTGACGGCTCGATTACTCGGCATACGGACTTGAGCAGTGCGGGAGGTCTCATCCGGGATGAGTTGGGACGTTGGCTCGGGGGATTTATTGTGAATATTAGGGCAGGTACCGTGTTGGACGCAGAGTTGTGTGGCCTTTGCCAAGGCCTAACCTTGGCGTGAGATCGGGGATTTCGGCAAGTAGAAATTGAAGTTGACAACTTACGTGTGGTGAGGTTGGCGTCTTCCTTGGAAGGAGACGTTGTTGGTCAAGGTACAATGGTAAGCTCCATTCATGAACTCCTTAGTCGAGAATGGCAAGTCAAGATCCAACATGTGCATCGAGAAGTGAATTATGCGGCGGACTTCATGGCCCATCTAGCGGCTTCGTACCCTCTCGGGCTTCACATATTATCCTATCCACCTCCCGGATTGTGTACTTGGCTCGAGCATGATAGTGTGGGGGTCTCGTATCCCCGACAAGTCTTAAACTAGGCCCTTGGCCTCTTTCTTTGTACCAAAAAAAAAAAAAATAGTTGAATTAAATTGTACATTGCATATGCTCTAATAACTAAACTTCCAACTGTAGAATCTAGATCCAACAACATAATAACACACAAAAAAAAAAAAAAATCACGCACAAACACAAATAAATACACACACACACATACAATAAACATAAAATAAAGCCCTTCTCATAATCGAACAATCGCACCAAGCAATCCTCGACGGCAAAACCACGATCGACCACCAGACAGACCAGACCACGACCCACATTTCAGCACCAGAAACTGCCCAACCCCTTGATCGAAGGACAGCTGAACATCTTTCCCCGCCACAGCATCACCGCCCCATTCCCAGCCCACATGACAGGTCGGCCCGACGTAATGGTCTTCCCTTCCTCCATAACAGGGGGAAAAAAGCAAGAGGGAGATCCCGCTGATCTATACCCCGACCAAGTCCTCAACAATCGGAGCCATAACCTGCCCTCGCAGCAATATCACAGCTTGCCTCCATCTCGACGCCATGAAAGCCGACGACCTTTGTCCCAATATGGCAGCCAGGAAAGGGCGAAGTCCACTTGAGAGCGTCGTCCACCTCACCGGACAAAAAGACGGGTCAAGACCAAATTGAGGTATCGTCAGGCAACCTTGAACCGACTACCGTCCCCAGTGGCCCCGCCAGGGAAGGCAAACGGAAAAAATTAGGGCACGTCAATGGGGATTTTCGGGGGAAGACGAAGAGCGAGAGAGTTTTTCCCTAAATTTTGATTCCTAATCTTCTATCATACTATGATTTGATCGGGCTCATTTAAACGTCACATGAGACCAATACATATACGTCGACTAAGGTCTGAACAATCAGGAAAAAGTGAGAAATTTTTACATGTTTTTTTACATTTTATGTGATTATTAAAAATTTTAATATCACCTGACTCGTTAACAAATAAACAGAGTTCAAGCTTGATTGAGCTCATTATCAACTCGTTAATTTTCTCAAACTCAAACTCAAATGTTCGGAGCTCGACTCATTTACCGCTCTACTCGCAAACACGATTAGGGAAAAAAAATTGATTATAAGTACAAATAGCATGATGGATTCGTTACACTGTGAAATAATTAATTATACGATTAGATAGCCTTTGCACTTCTCTTTAAAGTCATAGCATATGACATACTTACCTAAATAATTGGAAAATTGTGTATAAGTATTAAGAGGAATTACATACTCTTACTTAAAAATGTGTTAAAAAGTTAACATAATTTTTTTTCTTAAAAAATTTGCTATTACACATAAAAATACTAGTCGGGTTTGGGTTTCAATGTAGAAAATATTAGTTAACAATATATGTCAATCAAAGAAATTAAAACGTGAAAATAAATTTAAGTGGTATGATTAGTTGTTAGTGGGATTATAATTTTGTTAAAAATAATATTTAAAATAAAATAATTAAAATTGTTTTGATGTAAAGGAATGAAATGATAGTTAATTAAAAATTAAAATTATGTGAGAAAATGAATAGTCAATTAAGGTTGGTGTAATGTGTAACAATGATGAGTTTATATTATTTAATTATATTTATATTTTAAATAGTAAAATTGAGGTAAAATTGGAATTTTATTTTGAGTTTAAAATTTAAATTGAATATAGATTGAGATTTTGTATATACAAATTACAACCACACATAAGAGATAATTTATGTTTTTTTAACGTAGAGAAATGTGTTGGGCCAACAAAAGTCGTGTGGTTAAGACACGTGGGGCGGTTGTGTGGTGGCGCCAAAAGTGAATTTGCGTTGAGCCCACAATGAGTGAGCCCACAATGATTGGACGCGTGTCGGTTCTCAATTTATTGCATAGGCACCGGCAATTTCAAGTTACGTGCCAAACGGACCCTCATTAACATCATCATCCTCCATATAATAATAATAATAATAATAATAATAATAATAATAATAATAATAATAATAATAATAATAATAATAATAGAAGGTTATTTGAAAAAAAAATTGTATAATAAAATTAAATATACGAAATATTTATTTTTTATTTTTTATTATTATTTTTTTTTTTTGCGTACGATAATAAGTGACGGCTAATTAAAATAATACCTTTTTTCTTACCCTCAAATGTTAAAAAATGATAATCATTTTAATTACATTTATAAAATTGTATGTGTTAAAACAAATATTATTTCCTACTTTGCCTTTGCTGATTTTATTTTTAGTTTATAAAATTAATTTACAAACATGGTTACTTTATAATTACATTCTAATATTAAATGATGATTGGATCTCTCATCTATTATTTTTCAAGTATCATGTATGCACGTGTATAATTATAAATTAAAATGCGAAATAATTTTTAGTGGTAATATTCGTTTACATTAATCTAACTATTTTTATATGATTTTAAATCCACTTAAAATTTGAATATAGGAGTAAAAAGTTGCGATGAAGTAATACTAGTCACTTCCAATTTCACAAGTATTAATGTTGAATAGTATATTAAATTTAATTAGTACATTATTTTATGGTATATTAATCTAAATATTTATTTCGTTTTATAAGACAACTAGTACAACACCCGTGTATTACACGGGTGCTTGTTAAAAAATATTCTTAAATTTTAAAATTAATGAGAAAACTATATTAAATTTAGTTTATTTTTTACAAAAAAATACATTACTATATATTTTAAAATGATATGTGTTACTTATGACTTACATGTGTTATATTATATTAGTTTTTATAACTTATATCATATAACTACTTGAAATATAAATATGTTAGTTGATAAATAATTTTATTTTTCTAATTAATATTAATAAATAATTTTATTATTGTTATAACGAAAAATATAAATTATTTTTTTTATACATACAATATGGATGTTGAATCGAAGCTCATTAAAAGAAGATTAATTTGATATATTACATATGTAAAATTGATAAAAAATACAAAAGTTATTAACTTTTAAAATATATATACAATTCAATAGTTATAATAAGGAATGATATTAAAATACAATTAATACATGTAACATGACCATAAATAATCAACATATTTATGGTAATCCAAACCTAATTATTTTTGGTTTTTAATTAAATTAAAATTTACCCAAGCCTAATAACGAAGCATGTAATTTTGCCACATAGAATTCCGAAGCACCAGAAACAGCCACGTAGGCTCAGCGCGTTCTGTATTAATATATAGGGGGATATAGTTTTAATTCTAATTTTCAAATCTCGTTTGGTACTAAACTTATCTTTTAATTAGTTATAAAGATAGATGAAGTTACTTTTAAATTTGTATATATGATATGGACATCAAATCTATGACCGTCAAAAGATGATAAATTATATATGAAAAATATAATACAAATAATTCGGTTACAACTTAAAATAAATGAGGTTAAATAATATTAGTATGGTAAGATTTTATTTGGACAAACTTTTCAAAAAGCATCAAGTTTATGACAAAAGCTTTTCCAAGTAGCTACCAAAATAGGTTCGTTTTGGTACAATAGTTCTTTTATAAAGAGTCGAGCTTATTTTAGAAGTTATGTACGTGTCGTTCCAAATAAACGTATTGAGATTTTTTTTCTTTCAATTGACACTTATCGACTATATTTATCAAATACTTTTTTAAAATCAACTAGATTTTCAGTTATCAACCACACTACAAGAAAATGAGGAAATTTCAACGGAAATTTATTATAATAAAATGATTCCAACGACAATTCCAACGGATATTTCAATAATATTATTTCCGTTGAAATTTTTCAATGGATTCCAACAGAAATTCCAACATAAATATTCTGTTGGAATGAGTTTTCCATTGGAATTTCCATTGGATATTGACGATTCCAACGGTGAATTTTCCAACAGGGGTAGAAATAAAAATTCCAACGGAAATTCTTACGGTAAAAAACCGTTGGAAATATAGCCGTTGGAATCACTAAATTCCATCTAAAATTCCAATGAAAAACACATTCCAACGGAGAACCATTCCAACGGAAGCTATACCATTGGAATATCCGTTGAAATTTTCATTGAAATATATTACCATAAGATTTTTCGTTGGAATATAACAATTTTTTTTGTAGTGCCATACTTTGTCAATTATCAAATCAAAACAAATTTATAAGCTATCAATTTACTTAGGACACATCATGTAGTTAAATTTGTCAAACATATTTGTGGTTTGTCCCAAACCCAAGTCATGTTCCAAACCTATATTGATAGAGATCCAAAAGTGTGTATATGGACCTAGAGTCCCCAAAATCAGCCTTGGCCCACAATTTGTCTCTAAATTGGGCTATAGGTTATTTTGGACTGTGAAGGCCCAGCCCAATACATCGATTTCATTTACTCGTGCCGTTAACAAAACCCTCGTCTCCTCTTCACTTCAATCGCTCTCTCTCTCTCCGCCGTACTGAGGCTGCCGCCATGCCGAAGCACTACAGGCCCGCCGTAAGTTTCCTCTCCACCGTTCATCGGACCACCTATCTAGAAGCCATTATCCGAAACTTGAGCTCTCATTTCATTTATTTTTTTGTTTCCCGGCGCTTGATTTTCAGGGAAAGAAAAAGGAAGGTAACGCCGCTAAGTATGTGACGAGGTCTCAAGCGGTGAAATACCTCCAAGTCACCCTTCCTGTTTTCAGGTTTGTTTTTGTTCTGCGTGTGTATGCGTTAATTTGTGCTTTGTAAAGTATGTTGTGAACACTTTTCGCGCACTGATGGAGTTTATTTTCTGGCGATTGAGCTGTAGTTAGTTTATTTAGCTGGAAAAGAGAGTGTGTTTTTGATCTGTTATTGGTCTGTATACGAATTATGGCATGTTTTTTTGAAGTATATATTTTGATGGGTTTGTTCTTTGTTTTCGATATTTTAATTTGTTGTTGCTAAGATTTTTATGCATATATTCGATTTTAGTTTCCTCACTATGAGGATGTGATGTTTGTTTGCATATGTTATGAGTTCTCTATTATTTTGGTTAGTTATGTGTATTCTTGTTATATTGTATTTGCTATCACCTAGTTTTAGTTGTGTACTATATGGTTTTTTTTAATAGTGTTGAGAGTTAAATTTGCTTATGAGTTCTACTATCTCAGGAAATTATGCATCCTCAAAGGTGTTTTCCCTCGGGAACCGAAGAAGAAGGTGAAGGGAAATCACCATTCTTATTATCACATGAAAGATATAATGTTCCTTAAACATGAGCCAATACTAGAGAGATTAAGGGACATCCGAGCTTATGAGAAGAAGGTGAAGAAGGCCATGTCAAAGAAGAATAGGGATCTCGCCGAACGATTGTTGACACGCAAACCTACATACACTCTTGACATGCTCATTAAAGAGAGGTGAACTTAGTAATCTCAAGTTTCTTTTGTGCTTGGTATACAATGATGATTCTCACTTGTTGCTGTTTGTTTACCTGTACTTCTACTCGCCTTTTTAGGTATCCCAAGTTCATTGATGCACTGAGGGATCTTGATGACTGTCTGAGTATGGTACACCTATTTGCAGCATTGCCTGCTGTGGATAGGGCTGTTGATGGAGAGAAGATACCTGTAAGCCGTGTCCATAATTGCAGAAGGTCAAATTTGCTTCATATTTGTTTTATTGATTCTGTATGACATAGCTTATTAGCTTTCCTGTTCCACTTGTTTGCTGATGTTTTCCTTCAATGATTGCTTGTAGGTTGAGTCATGAGTGGCAGGCTTATATTTCCCGCACGCATAAACTAAGGAAGACCTTCATTTCTGTAAAAGGAATTTATTATCAAGTACGTATGAATAATGCAAGTGTTTTTTTTTAATTATTATGTATTGTTTAATATTGCATTAATTACCGTACCAATTGTTTCTTGTTCTCTCAGGCTGAGGTTGAGGGGCAAAAAATTACTTGGTTAACTCCACATGCACTGCAACAAGTTCTGCCTGAAGTGGATTATAGAGTTCTGCTAACTTTTTTGGAATTCTATGAGGTTAGTCCATGCCTGCTTCTATGTTTATTCTAATCTGAGTACTCCAACAGTGCCTATATGGGGAAAGAGGACCAAAGTTTTGGTTTTTTCTTTCATTTAGACATTGGACCCATATTACTTTTTTAAGAGATTTATTGAAAAATAAAGATGTTAAAATTCAACCCTTTTTTATTGCTTGAGTTTGCAAAATATGATATCTACTAATTAACTGATTATGTAGTAACCTGGTATGTGATATGTGTTATGTATTTTTCTGGTGCAGCTTTCTAATATCAGTTTGTTTGCAGACTCTTCTTGCATTTGTTAATTACAAACTTTATCAGTCAATAAATGTGAAGTATCCACCCATTTTGGACCCTCGACTTGAAGCTCTGGCTGCTGGTAAGACATTATCCATTTGTTGTGCAATATATTCAAATCAATAATATTGAAGATTGTGAGAAGTTAATGAAATAAAAGAATTTGTAGAGTAGAAGAAGTATTTCTAGAGTAGAAGAAGGAAGAATGTTGCTAATATCTGTTTACTAATCTATTGGTGTTGTTCGAACACATACAGATCTTTATGCCTTGTCAAGATACTTTGATGCTCATGCTCAAAGTTCCTCTATGCAAATGGATACTTCATCTGGATCTGAGCAGACCAACCAGCTTGAGGGGACAAAACCTGATGAATCTGAACTCAGGCTTGCCCAGCTTCAGCAACAGCTTCCTTCCAATGAAGCTGGTGCTTTGATGCACCTTGTTGAAGATGTCGCTAATGAGGATGAGGAAGATGCTGAAACACAGGAATGCAAAAATCTCTTCAGGAACATGAAATTTTTCTTGAGTCGTGAGGTGAGATACTATTATATTCTTTCTACATTAACTTTTTGTTTCTTCCTTTTTATTTCTTTTTAATTTTGTTCTCCCCTGAGTGATCAAAGCAGAGCAATATCTGCTATCTTCTCTGTGACCCTATTAAAGGAAACTTTACCCAACAAGATTATTCAACTGGGTCAGGATTCTACTTCACATAATCTGTATCTTGTGGTTCCATTGCTAATTGGTTTGCTTTACTGGCTCCTATACTTATTATTGTCAGCCTTTTTCGGCTCTCTTTTTAGTCCTGCACAGCATTGGGGCGATCGATTAATATTTTGAGTCGTCTTCGTTTATCGTCTAATCTTTATTGACTTGTCTGAAATCAATCATTGTTCAGGTTCCTAGAGAGTCATTACTGTTCATCATTCCTGCTTTCGGCGGTACAGTTTCTTGGGAAGGTGAAGGTGCACCATTTGAGGAGTCTGACCATAGTATCACTCATCAGGTGCATTTCATGATTTTATAATATATGCACTTAGCATTTATGAAGGTGATGCAGAAATGACTTGTCAGATTAGTTCTGTGCAATTATGTATAGTGTTTTATCTGTGTATATGCTTTTCCTTAATGTAACAGTTTTTTCTAAAGAAAAAAATAAGCGATCATTAGATAATACGTGGATTGATGTTGTCTATGTACTAATAGGTCGGATAGTATTTAGTAGTGGTTTTTTCTGGTTATTGTTTAGTCCTTATCAAAATACTCATACCCTTTCGCCATTTGCTGCCTACCTTGTTTGGTTCAATTTTGTTTATTTGTTGAGTTGTGGATATTATTATTGTTATTTCATGATTATCTCTAGCATAGTTTAAAATGGCGACGCCTCGAGGCGAGGCGACCGAGGCGAGGGCCACATCGCCTCGCACTGCCTGAGACGGCCCTGTTCGTGAGGCACTCGCTTCAGGTCGCCTCGGCTCGCCTTTTCGCGTGGCGAGAGGCGCTTGTGAGGCGCGCCTCGGCGTCTTTATGAGGAATTAAAGGTGCAGACCATTAAAAATAAAAAAACAAAAGAAAATGTGTAACACTTTTTGGAAAGAGAATAAAATTAAAACAGTTGTGCTCTTTCTTCACTTCATCTCCCAGACTGAAAACTAGGGCTTTTGACTGAGAATACGGAAGCAAAAAAACTTCAGTGACAAATCCCTAAATGGCTTTTCCCCAAACTAGGGTTTTTGCGAAAGAACTCCCTATGCTTCTCAGATTTGAAAATTGTAGAAACCCACGACCGACCCATCCCATTTCGCCTCCCTTTTTCTTCTTTCTTCATTTTTTACTTTATTTATGTTACTAGTATGGCAATAGTCAAAGGTGAAAGGGTGCAACATCTTTTCTTTTATTTACTTATACTTTACCCTCATTATTTACCTTCTTTGACATTTTTCTATTTTATGTTACTACATATTATAAATTCAATGTTTTTTCTTTGTTATGTTACTAGTATTCACGTTTAAGTTTTAGATGCTTTTAGTAATTACAACTAAAATTTAATTAATACCATTTTCTTTGAGGATATTTAAGTTTATTTTTGACACTTAAACTTAAATATATGATATTACTATATATATATATATTTTCAGCTTTGATGGCTTGTGTTGCCGAGGCCTCGCCATGGCGAATCGCCTCGCTCGTGCGAGGCTACGGACTGATCGCGTTGCCTCGCCATTTGCCATTTAAAACTATGATCTCTAGTAAACAGTTCATTCTGCATCTTGTTCTTTGCCGACTTTTTGCCTCTTTAACCCCCAAAACATAGTAAGGTTTGAAGTTAGAGCGGTTTTTACATTTCTGGATGCTTCTTTTGTTGAAGTTCAACAGTGTGGATCCAAGTTGATGAGCTTCTACGTGTTTATTTACTGATAAAGTCTAACCATTTTCATATGCGAAGGGGCTTTCTAGGTCTATATGTATCGCAAGCTATTCTCTTTGGTACCATAGTTTTATTCTTGCTAGTGCCATGTGTGCAATCAGTATTTTTTTTTTTTTCAATATTTGTGCAGATTGTTGATAGACCATCTCAGGGACGCAAATTCCTTTCCAGAGAATATTTGCAGCCTCAGTGGGTTTATGATTGTGTCAATGCACGCATTATATTGCCCACCGAAAAATATATGGTTGGATGGTAATCCTACAACGATTTCCTCTCGCACTTTTCTTAAGTCATTTATCCATTTTCTTTGGACCCCTTGCTTCACGTGGATAACTTTTTGTCAGGCTATGTTTGACAACCAAATAAGCTAGCTTATAGTTTATTTCTTAGCTAAGCTTCTTGCATTGGTATTCAAATAATTCATTTGGTAGGACGAGCTTTTTTAAAAAGCTTGAGCTTATCTCATAAAGCTTCTCTGGGTAGCTTTTCAAAAAATCCTCGTTGAAATTTTTATTTCAGCTAGCTTATCAACTAATTTTACCAAATACTTTTATCATATAAGCTTTTCAGCAACAAGGTTATGGTTAGTAGACAAATTAGCTAGCTTATAACTTATTGTGTTAGCTTATAAGCTCCTTGTATTCAAATAAGCTCCGTTTGGTATATTCAAATAAGCTCCGTTTGGTAGGACAAGCTTTTTTAAAAAGCTCTAGCTTATTTGGGTTTCAAATAAGCTTGTTTAAATTTTTATTTTATAGCTTGTCAGTCATAAGCTAGAAAATTACTGATAAGCTATATCAGCTAGTTTTATCAAACATGGCCTAAGTCATAGGCCTAAGTCATAAGTTCGAAAATCACTTATAAGTTATAAGCTAGCTTATCAGCTATCAGCTAGTTTTACAAAAAATAATCTTATATTCACTTTTTTTTTCTTTGTTTATATTTTACTTTCTTTTTGCAGTGTTCCTCCGCCACATTTATCCCCATTTGTAGACAATGAAGCAGAAGGTCATGTTCCTGAGTATGCAGAAGCTATTGAGCGACTGAAGAATGCTCAAAGAAACGATATCCTACCGTTGCCTGGCACGGGAAAAGAAGATTTGGATGACCCTCACAGTTTACTTAGCATTAGTGACCGGAAAGAAGCTATTGATGCTGCTGAGAGAAAACAGAAGGTATTTGATCTTTTCCTGCATGAGAGCCTAATTTTAAATTGTAGTCAAAGTTTGTGACTGAGTATGAGAATGTCGACTCATGAGTCATGAATCTGAACTAATTGGCTACTAGAAATCACTCAAAAGTTAACTAGTAGTTGTTGTGCCGCAACATCTTGTTTATCGGACTACATTTGATTTGATAAAATCCATAGATTTTTTTCTTCTGCATATTATGAAGTAACGAGAAGTGTAATCTTGTTTCATGGTGATTCTATGTAAATTATACCGCTGAGTTACTAGTCTCATATCATAATTATCTCTTTGCAGCTAAATATAATATATAAATGAACGGTATAAAATAAAATATCCTTCTCTGCAGCTAAAGTATTTTTATGTATTTCAATGGATTCAGATGTTAACAAAGCAGAAGCAGTATCACGAGGAGCTCAAACGAGAGCTCCAAGGTGAACAGTATTCATCTCTCCCCAGTGGCATTGAAGCCGAGGGTTATACCGAAATCGACACAGCCCCCGATTTGATTCAAATGGCCGAGGATGCTTCTAGTATGTCAAAGATTGGAATGTCACGCAAAAGGGCTCGACTTTTAGAAGCCATGGAGGTAATAATTCGAAATTATTTTATGTTGGATATTTTGAAAATCTGCTCACTTATCCGAGATCTCGTTTTTTTTTTTTTTTTTTTTTCCCTTTAATAAATGTTGCTTATATCCGTTTGCTTTATTCGTCAGATGGGCAAAAAGAAGAAACAGGGTCATGTACGGCTCCTGAAAGAACGAAAGAAAAAGATCGACGAGGCCAAGAAATCTGCGTAAGAGCCACATTTTTTTTTTTTTTTTGGGATGTTATGTTTTATGCTGTGTTCTTGATATTACATTTGCTTTATTGAACAAACGCAATTATCATCTGCCATTGGCTGAAATTTTGTTGTGATATTTAATGGTGATATATTCTATGTTGCAAATTGCAATTGATTTTATGCTTTTAATATACTGATTCTATGTTGGGATGAAAATTTCAAAGTTTAATAATATTTTGATGCAATTTAACTAAATTATGTTTAATGATTTGTTATTAATGCGTTTTAACTAAATTATGTTTATGTTCAATTTGTGATTAAATATATAACTTGGAAATTATGATGAATGGTTTGTTAGTGGTAAACTTTAGCTCGAAATTTGTTGGGGTTAGGTTGCATACTGTGAGCTTTGACACCCAGGAAGTCGTCAATTCTATTATTATTCCTTTATTTATTTATTTATTACCATTTTCCACATTGAATAAATCAAATTTAGTAAACCATTCATGATTAGATGACAAAACCATGTGATCTTTCATGTGCTAATGTTTTGATTTTAAAAGTATTAGTATTTGATCATGCACATTTGCACAACTATAAAATACGTTTTTGTTTGTATTTATTAATTAGATATGTACTTTTATCGTATAAAAATTATTACTTTTTCTTAAGTTATTTTTATCATTCAAAATTAATTGAGATTTAAATTTTAATTAACCATGCAACATTAGTAATATTAATAAAATAATTTATATATTTGTGGCATATATTAAGAAAATTCAAATGAATAAAAAAATTATTGGTGTTTGTAATTTTTAGAAGAAACAAAAAATATGTGTCAATCATATTTTTTCTTCCAACAATGCAACCAAATATAGTTGTTACAGCTCTGAATGTGTCAATTAACTTTAAGTTCCAACATCAGCCGTTACACATTTGAATATTTTGCTACCAAATTTAGAATTAATTTACTAACTGATTCAAAAAATAAATAATAAAAATACATAAATTAAGGTGTAACGGTTTTAGCAGATTAGTGAGTAATTAATTAAAAAAAATGTAACTCCTTTTGAAGGGAAATGAAAATATGTTTTTTTAAATATTTTATTAAATGAATCAACTAGTAATTATATATATATAGATGGCTCCACCTAAGGACTTCATTATCTTAATTAAAATCATT